TTTTGATTTATCTTACTTTGTGATAATTGAGTTATCTCATCTTGACTGATTCCGATTTATCTTAATTTATAATAATTTATAATATAATATAAATCCACCCATATTTTAAATTTTATAAGAATTAATTTATCTTAATTTATCTTATTAATCCTACTCTATATTGATATTTGAGTTATCCTAATAATGATTTATCTTACTTAATATATATATATATATATATATATATATATATATATATATATATATATATATATATATATATATATATATATATATATATATATATATATATATATATATATATATATATATATATATAATCTGTTTCCTTTTACCACTTGATGGTGTGGGGTTTGCTAGTGTTACTAGTAACTTACTAGTGCTAGTGTTACTAGTAACTTACTAGCTATAAACAAATTTTCTCCTCTCCTCTTGTTCCCTGGATAATGTTTTTGCCGCTGCCCATGTTATTCCTCTGCTTTCTATTGTGTCCGCTACTACTTTGTTCCAACTTTTCCTAGGTCTTCCCTTTTTCTTTTGTACTTTTGCCTCCCAATAAATTCTAGAGTGGTTTCTATTTCTAGTTCTTCTCTTATTACAGTATTTCTAATTCTATCCATCCTTGTGACCCTTTTAATGTCCCCGAGAAATGTCATTTCTATAGCTTCTATTTTTGATTTTTGTGCTTGGTTTAGTACCCATGATTCGCAAAACATTTATTTTGGTTCTTTTTAGAGATTTCTTACTTTCTTATAAACTTGTTTTTCATTGTACAAGTTTAGAGCTTTTCCCGTCCTTTTGCTTATTTCTACTTCTTGTCCTCTATTATCTTCTAATTACTACCCCTAAATATTGAAAGTTTTCTACATGTTCTATTTTTTCTTCATTAATTTTTATATTTATTTCTTCTTTTTGCCCTTCTCCTATAATCATCACTTTTGTTTTATTTATGTTCATCTTCATTCCGTATTCTTGTAGGGTTTCATTTCATATATTTAAGTTTATCTGTAAGTCATTTTGGTTTCTTGTCATAATTACTAAGTCATCTGCGAACGCTCCTTCCTATATTTCTATCCTATGTAAGTTTTTGTATCAGACCATTACTTTTTTATTTTCTGGTTACATTTTTTGATTATATCATCCATAAAAACTATGAATAATAATGGACTTAATCCACCCCCTTGTCTTAGTCTTTCTTGTGTTCTAAAAACATTTGACATTCTGTTTTTGTTGATCACTGCATTTTTATTATTGTTGTAAATTGTTTTAATTATTTGTATAGTTTTTTCATTAATACTTTCTTTTAATATTTTCCATAGTATTTTTCTTGGAACCCTGTCAAATGCTTTTTTATATCTATGAATCCCAGATATAATTTCTTGTCTTGCTGTATTATTTTTTGTGTTAATTGTTTTAGTGTAAATATATGATCTTGTATACTTCTTCCCCTTCGAAATCCACTTTGCGATTCTCCCAGCGTATTTTCAATTATAGGTCTAGTTTTTCTATCTATTAACTGTTTGAATAACTTCATAGCTGTGCTTAGTAGTGTTATTCCTCTATAATTGTTGTCACCCTTTTTGTCTATTGGTACAATTAAAGCCATTTCCCAGTTGGTAGGTAGTTTTTCTTCTTTCCATACTTTGTTGTATATGTCTAGCAGTATTTCATTTCCTTTTTGTGCCAAATTCTTGCACATCTCTGTGGTTATTTTGTCGTGTCCTGGTGTTTTTCCATTTTTTAGTGTTTTTATTGTTTCTTTTAGTTCTTTCATTGTTATTTTTTATAATTGTTCTTCTGCTATGTTTTCTTCTTGACAGTTTTCTGTATAGTTTTCTTTTTCTATTTCTTGTCCATGTGCTAGTAGTTCTTGGAAATGTTCTTTCCATCGGTCCATAATTTGAGTTTCTTCTCCATTTTTATTCTTGACATTATTTATTGGCATCCCTTTTTTTCCTCATTGTTATCAGTACGATGCACAGTGTTTCAATTCTGGAAAATATCGGCAAAACCTCAAAAATTGACATTTTATTTCAGGTAAATTTTGAGTCAGATGGGTAGTTAATACCTGTCTCCATCCTGTATTGAAAAAAAATTATATAAAATATGTATATTTTGTCTTGTACATCAGTTTATACTTGACGCTTTCAGTTGAAGGTACTTTACACGCGATCGCTGCGGAAAATTGTTTATTGTTTAAAAGTGAATAACTTGTGTTTGGTGTGTCCGATTGTTATGCGGTTTGATAAAGGGTGATCTTCAAGGTATCTAAAATTCAGATATGTGTTTGTTTTTCGCAGATTTTGCTTGTACAACGGGTTATTGTAACCGACAAGATCGGTCTGTTAAAATCGCAAACTTTGAATCGAGCTTTTAGAACAATGGAGCTACAAAAATTGTAATGAATTGTAAGGCATCAGTTCAAGATCCGTTGAATAGCTTAAAGTTTTGTCTATCATGCCATCAATAAATTAGCTGCCCCAACTTGCCCCCGGCTCTTTAAAACTACATGTTTTTGGGCGCTCAGGCACGGTTGTGGTAAAAAACCTCGCGATTTTAAGCCTTTGTCGAGCGCGTATCTGTATTTTTGCTTTACAAAATATAAGATTTTTTTTATTTCTGGGTTAAGTTCATGACGTTTACTCGATTCACTCGGATTTAACTCAAAACGTTTATTACAACAGCGGTGTCTAGACTTTCACTTGCGTAAATCGTGACTATAGTATACTAAGATAGTTAACACCGATTTTACATATTTAAGCCACCTCTTGTAGGTGCGTTAAAACAACTCAGCATGCACATTGTAGTGTGTTAATGTCAAATTTGAATTGTGGTTATTTGTGTTGATAATTTTTTTAGCGAATTAAGAAATCGTTGCTAAAATATTAAGTAAAAGAAATAATACAAATTTAAAAAACTTAGTATACATAAGCCAATGGAAAACATCTTCCATCGTTTTATTTATAAAATTTAAATATAACAGATTTTATATATAAATCTTGCCATATCTCAAGTTTTTTTGTAATTCTTTTTCTCCTTTGGTTAGTTTTCCTTCTATGTATATATTTTTTCCTTTAAGTATTTTCTTCCTTTTCATTACTTCTAATTTATCTTCCCAGTTTCCCAATTCTGCTATAAAAGAGTCTTCTTTTAGTTTTATGGCATTATTAATTTGAACTTTTTTTCCTTTTTCTCTTTAAACTGTGGTTTCTAATTTATTTATTAATTCTTTTTTATCTTTAAAGTCTATTTTAATTCCTGTGATAACTATGTTGTTGCGTATCTTTTCTTTCTCTAATCTCTCTAGTCTTTTCTCCGTTCCTATAATTTTTTTGTCCATTTCCTCTTTTTCTATTTTCCATTCCTGTTTGTTATTATTCTTCTAGTTCTTCTTTTATTGATATTATTTCTGCTCTTTGTAGTTGCATTTCTTTTTGTATGTCTTGTTAATCTGTTTGTATGTTGCTTATGTTGGTTTGCAATGATTCAAACATTTTTATTTCCCTATTTTCTTCTTTTGTTTTTGGTGGCGTTCTTTGGTACCTACTTTTAAATATCTCACCTTCTTCGAATGAGGTTTGTATCTTTTAACGCCTTTTTGTTGTTTACCTTCGTTATTATTCATTCGTTATTTATTAAACAATTAGATTAAATTAATTCACCTTTAATGATTTATTTAAATACTGTCCTGTACTTCTCGACTGTACGCACTTATCGCAAGGTCACCTGTCCAACTCGACGTTTCGGAAGCAGTTAACCTATCTTTGTACGTTTTTATTTTTACTTTATTATTAACGGTAATGTTTATTATAGTATATTACACAGTACAACACGATTTCCCTCCCATGAAAAATTTTTGCAGATTTTATCTTATATTCAATACATGTTGGAATAAAATCTTGGTCGTTTAGTTTGACGATTATATATTGCTTCAGAATCTCGAACAATTGACCAGCAATATTCACCCAGCAAATGCCTGACGTCTTTTCCCTTGAAGCGTTTTTCAATTGTTAAAATGTCTTGGTGAAAACGTTCGCCATGTTCGTCACTAAAATCGCCCAAATTTGGTGGAAAATGGTCGAAATGAGCATGGAGAAAATGTATTTTCAGTGACATATGTACTTTCATGTCCTGAAAAGCAGAAATCATTTCTGCAACAATTTCTTTGTAGTTGACTGCTTTTTTGTTTCCCAAAAATAAAGATTGTTTTGAAAACAATGCTTTTTATGTATAAATGCCGCAGATGTGTAAATTTTTTGTTTTTTTGCTGTTTTAATTGACTTCGTATACTTAAATAATTTTTTTACTTAAATTAAATATGTTTTAGGTACACTTGCTTTAAGACTTAAATCAATTCATTTAAATATCTTTTAATTTTTAGTATTAAAAATGTTAATTCAACAAAGCTCAATTTTTACAAAAAATTGAATAAATAAAAACTTTAATCACCCGACTTTTGATGCATTTTGATTGGCTTAAAATTGAAACATTTTGTTACTTGGTTTAAAAGTAAACCGTTTGATATATTTCTTAAATGTGCAAAACTCTGTATAAGATTAAAATAATTTTAAAATGCATCTATAATGGTTGCCTATCCATTTAGTAAATATATATATTTTTAACTATGCAGTCCAGCTGTTATCGAGTCTATTAAAATATGTCGCGAATAGTGTGAATAACATTTTATTGGATTGCCCTTAAAAAAAATTATGACGTGATGTGAAAAAACGCCGAGACACGGGTATCATTTTTTTAACTCTATTTTTAGAATCTGTAGAAATTTTTCATGGGAGGAACCAAAAATCAAATTTTGTCGTACTGTGTTATATTTCAATAATCCACTCACTGGTCGTTGCTGCTATAGCTGAGCTATTCCTTATGATTTATATGTTCGTAATATCCCAAAATTAGGGTTTTTATTACGGAACAATGTTCTACCCACCTCTCTTACTAATATTTAACCTTGTTTAATGTATTAAAGGTGTTTAACATTGTTTAAGGTATATAATGGCACCAAACAAGTACAAAAAAGGGGTATTTACACCCTGGATCCCATAAACCCCCAAGAACCAACTTTCAGCAAAATACTCATAGCAAACAGAGGAGAAATAGCATGTAGAGTAATCAACACCGCCAAAAGAATGGCAATAAAAAGTATAGCTGTATATTCAATAGCAGATTCACAATCGGTAATCTAACAATACAACCAATTACAAAGCCAATATTTTTAGTTATTTTCAATTTTAGAGACATGTTAAGTTGGCAGATGAGGGAGTTTTCATAGGCCCAGCTCCGGCGGCTGAGTCCTATTTGGTTATGTCGAAAATAATGGATGCGATTAAAAAAACAAAGGCTGAAGCTGTTCATCCTGGATACGGGTTTTTGTCTGAAAATGCTACATTTGTTGGTATGTTGGTAAGTTTAAAAGAGACCAATATTTGTTGTCGGTATGACATCAATTGAATTTATTCTTTATACTTTTAAATACTTATTTTCTAATGTAGACTATTTGTAATTTGTCTTTTTTTAATATCCTTTATATGCACCATGGTGTATATTTTATATTATGCTATTTCCTTAATACATTGTATAGTAAACATCTCTTTTTCAAATTAAACTCTTCAATAAAGCGCAGTAAAGCCATCTGGCTTTAACTATATAACATCAATTTCGGGGTTAATTACATACGTAAAACCACATCAACGTTTTACATTGTATGCGATAGGTCCATCAACGAAATATGTAGGGTTTTATGCTTATTCCTAATGATTAAAATCCTCAAAGCGAAGTAAAACATCTTGCTTTGATTTTCGTTACATTTTTGATGCGAGCTACATTCCTAAAACCCGTATTTTACATTGTAGGAGGACGAGAATGTAGCTTTCATAGGTCCATCAGCGAAATGCATCACCGGAATGGGTGATAAACTTGAATCCAAGAGACTGGCGATGGCGGCCGGCGTTAATACCATTCCCGGGTTTGATGGTGTTGTGAAGGATGCAGATCATTGCGTCGAAATTTCGAAAAGTATCGGTTATCCGGTGATGATTAAGGCGTCGGCTGGCGGAGGCGGCAAAGGAATGCGAATAGCCAGGAACGACGAGGATGCAAGGTACGTAAATTTTTAGAGGCAGTCAAAAATTTGTTACATTTGGATAATGTTTATCAAGGAATATAAGTCAAGTTAGTCTTACATTGTAAGACCTTAATTCTGATTTAGGTATAAATTATAATTTTTATATTTCACAACGCTGCAATAATTGCACAAAATAGCTTAAAAACATTTTTTTATTTGGACTCTTGTTAAAGGTATTTTCAATATTAACAAGGCTTTGCACTTTTATAAATAAATACAATTTTTTATTCAATTTTATTTAATTTTTACTATAGTCGTATAACCTTGGTTAACAACAAAAAATACATTTAAATTAACATTTAATAAAACCGCTGGAACATGGCTCACTGTATGATATCAGCACACATTGGCGGGGGGTTATGGTGGGAAAATTCTGACGAGTAGATTTTGAGTTAATAAATGTATAAATAAAATGAGTGTTTAGAAAAGTTTATAACGAGTTCAACTCGTCGAGTTGCAAATTATACTTTTTCTATAACAAAAATTATTTTAAAAAATAATTTATTATTCATTAATTTAAAAATTGGTGTTAGGAATCTGTATTACCAGCTTTCAAAATGTCAGTGTTGGTTTGTCAGATTTTCCTGTAAAAATCAAAATTTCTTTCTTCTTTCATTTAAACTTGAAATAGAAGCAATTTTTCACAGTAAAAGGAACGGATGTTTTTATGCACCCGACAATATTAATTCTGTTTCTTAACGCCGCGGCATGGTGAAAGTACGACTTTCGCAACTCCTCAATTTTCAAAACTCTCATTTACTACGTTGTTAAGAGAAATACTGCCCTTAACTTCTGCACTCGTTAAGAAATGTACTATACCGTCATATACTAGAGAAATCAGTACAAACGTGCATATAATCTTTTCAAAGGTTGGTGTGATGAAACTATTTAATAATTTTGTGTTTTTTTATTGAGATAAAAAAATAATGTTCACATTTTAGTATTATTTCACACGAAGGGCACTTTATTTTGACGATTGTATGACCGTTTTGATTATTTTAAATAAACTTTTTCCAAAAAAATATATAAAACGTATACCTACGTTTTTTCCGCACCTGGTAAAAACAAAAAAATTTCGAGCCTTTTAAAAACTACCTAGTAGTACCTACTAGCATTTAAAACGAAAAAATTGTTAAATTTTCAGAAAAATTGTTGAAATTTTCAGAAAAATTGAGAAATTTTCAGAAAAATTGACTTGATTTTTTTTGTATTATCCGTAGTATTATAATAAAGAATAAATGCAAAAGTCTGAAAATTGGAGAAAAAAAATCCAATTCGTACTGCGGATAATACGGAAAAATCCAAAACTATTTTTTATTAATTGACCAATTTTTCTGTTTTTTTTGCTCTAAAAAAGCGGTCGCTAAAACACTACTGTCAACTTACTTCTCTAAAGTCAAGCTATATTCAGCCTGACTAAAAATCCCGAAAGATCACTTAGTGTCATAAAAACGTGTTCGTTTTAAAGAAGGGATTGGAAAAATATTTTTTTTATTTTTGAAAAGTACTTTCAATTCTTTGATGTGAGTAGTTTTTAAACATAACTATAAAATACAAAAAAAAACAATTAAAAAATTAACCTACTCTAAAATTACGTTTGTGTTTTAAATGGGTTATATTTGGTTTATGTCTTACATATTAAAATGTTTAGTTTTTTAGAAATTGTAATTCTGTACTTAATGAGATTTTTGTGTGGTTAATTTTAAATAGTTTTTGGACTTTTATTTGCTATTTTGTTAATCCAAAAGACCAGCATTGAAATGCGATTAGCTAGGACCGATGAAGACAAGTTTAAAAATGTTAAGACGTCATAAAAAATTGTAGTACTTTATGTTACACGAAGGAAGGTTTCATTAAAGAAAATAATCAATGCTGGAAAATAAAAATAACTTTTAAATTGATGCTTTGAATTAATGAGAAAATTCCCTCATGATTTTGTTCTTGAAATATAGGATTGGTTTAATAAACACCAGTGTAAATTAGTAAATTTTTTTAATCATTTTACTTATTTTAAAAATTTTATTTAAGTATATATTATATTTCAACTAAATAGCTATTTAGTGATTAATTAGTGAAATTGTAATTCAATTTCCTATTATAATTATTACTTTCAGCAGTATTTATTAACTTTTTAAGGGTTGATAGAAACTTAGTTTACATATCCCAATCATGAGACAATTTTTGCGTTATGTTATCCCATATAAACATATATTATATATTTCGTTAATTTTGGCTTAATGTTGCTTTTTAAGCTTGAATTATTTGATTGCTCAATAAAAACGCGTAGTGCAGAATAAAACAATTGCATTGTTTATGTGGCTATCAATTTTTATTCCTAAAAATATATAAGAGACCTTTGCACGGCAACCCAATTGTTATCATTATTATTATTAATTAGGTATATTAAATGTTTACATATTTCGATATCATAAAACATTATCAAAGAAAGAACATAAAATGGTATTAAATGCAATAAAATTACAGACTTAATAAATTTATTTATACAAATTTTATTTTAGCTCTTTAAGTTAGCCCAAAGCTCAATCCGGTATGTTATATTTCGTCATCAATGTCCAAAAATTTACAAAAAAAACAAATTAAATTTTCTTTTATGATATAAACCCACATCTATTAAAAACAATAATTATAGTTATTGTTTTTAATAGATGTATAGAATATTGTCATTGTTAAAGCTACGTTTCCTGATTGTACAAATTATTAGAAAATATAAAATAAAATTCGCATGTAGATACGCGTAGATATTAAATTTAATACCGACCAATTTATATCTTTTACCTTGACGTTAAAATGTTTAGTTTGGTTTTATACCGCGATAATTTAGTAAAACTACCACGTAAATTGCGAATATTCGTTGCGGAATTTCGTATTTAGCAATAACCATGATATAAAAGGGCGCTTCGCTGGATTCGATGGAGTCTCGAATAAACGTCGACGCGGATGTAGAGATGACCCAGAAACGAAGATAGAGGAGCCCGATAGGGAAATTAATAGATAAGCACGATCATTATATGTATAATAATATTCAATATACAGCAGATCCCCATTAATATGGATAATGACAGTTCGCGCCTTACATATCAAGTGGATCGGAAGCTCCAAACGCAAAATCGTGTCAACCCTCAAGATTTGCTCACCAAAGCATGTAGAATCTGATATCAAAGGTTTTTCAATGAGAATAATATGTTTCAAATTAAATTAAAAAAAGAAAAACAGATATATCAAATAATTTATCTTTTCTACTCTCACCTTTTCTCTTTTCATTTTTACATGACACTGAGTGATATTTTAAATACACATCGACAAGTTGAAGCTTTATGGCATCTTAGTCACGGGCAGAAGTTATCAACAGGTTTTTAGTCATGGTTATGTGTCATACAATCTTTAATATAAAGTGCCCTTCTTGTGAAATAGTAATGTGAAAATTATGTTATTATCTTAATACAAAAATAAATAAAGTATTAAACATTTTCTTAACGCCAATACCTGTTTAAAAGTTTATTTGCAAGTTTGTACTGACCTTTTGATTTTGCCGGCAGTAAACTAGATTTAAGCATTTTGGGTGGAGACTCTACCGTGAAGTGCCCATAAAACATTTTTTTTACTTACACTGTGAAAAACTGCTTCTATATTATTATTTAAACGGTTGTTGGTCCATTTTCAAGGGATAAATTTCGATTTAAACATACTAATTTGATATTTTGACTGGCGCGCCCGTAATACAGATTCCCAAGTTAGAAATACCTACTCTATTTTTTATATATGTCGCTCTATATAAATATTTAATTTAAATCATTTTTAGATAATAAGTATTTGTCGTAACAAAGTACATTAGGCAAATCGTTTATAAACTTTTCTAGACACTCATTTAATTTACTGGCATAATTAAAATTCGTGACTAAAATGGCGTTTATCAAACTTGATACTGAATATACTATTATTCACATTTTATAATGTGATAAACAAAATCAGAAAAATGAGTTTTTACACATCGTTAAAATTAAAAAGGTTGCCAAATTTCTAATTTCTATGCACTGAAAACAATGCGTCTAAGATCTCTTAGTAGCATCGAAATAGACAAAGCAAAATATTATATATGTCTGTTATTTTATCTTTATGCCATTATATTTAAAATTGTACCATTTAATAAATGGCATTTATAGTATTAATTTATCGTTACAATCGTCTTAAAAATCAAGTTGTTTTTCATGAATTTAAAACATTTTAACGATTTCCTTTTTTTTCAGGGAAGGATTTAAGCTATCAACGCAAGAAGCCCTTTCAAGTTTTGGCGACAGCCGTATGCTGGTGGAAAAATTTATCGACAATCCCAGACATATCGAAATACAAGTATTAGGTGATAAACATGGTAACGTGATATATTTGAATGAAAGGGAATGCAGTATACAAAGAAGAAATCAGAAAGTAATCGAAGAAGCACCAAGGTAAAAAATACATAAGCGCGGGATATTATATGCAAAAAGAATAATGACAATAATTTTCTATAATAGCGAATTATATTTAGAATAGCGTGCCGAGGTCGAATGAAAAATTTAAAATTAAAAAAGCAACTTGGTATATTTAAATTATGCAAATGCTTTTTATACGGAACTCCGTGTTAAATAAATTGTGTACTTTGATATTAAATATGATAAATTTTATCACTTACTCACTTACTATTTTTTTTAAATACTGATAATAAAAGTCTATTCATTTATTTTTGCATTTAAATTGTTTGGTATACTTATGAGGTTTTGGACTTCCATTGCCTTGGTATTTTTAATCACGACGTTTTGACTGATAGTAATTTCAATCGTCTTCAAGTGAATGCTAAATAAGTTTAGTAGCTACAGGTCTAGTGCACCCTTTCTTAAAAATAAATAGATCAGTAGCCACTTAAACTAAGTATTCACAGATTTGGTACGTCGAGATTAAAAATACTAAGGCAATGAAAGTATAATAATACATTGTTGTTTTGTACCATATTATATCGTATATTATTCTTCAACATGTCTTTTTTTTATAAATTAAAAATATAATATCCATAAAAATTAAATTTACATTTTTGTAATTTAAAAGTATCCCAATAAGAAATGCGGGAGTAGTCTCTTAAAGGGTTTAATTACACCATTTTAAGACCATTTCTTTTCGTTTACATCTTTGGCTTCGAATATTTTTTTAAATTTGGCTTTAACCTCTTTCAGTATATTTTTGGATCCAGAAACGAGGAAATCCATGGGAGAACAAGCTGTAAACCTTTGCAAACAACTGGGCTACTCTTCAGCAGGAACGGTAGAGTTTTTAGTGGACGAAAACCGAAATTTCTATTTTCTCGAAATGAACACAAGACTTCAAGTAGAACATCCCATAACAGAATGCATAACGGGTGTAGACCTTGTCCAACAAATGATACGTGTAGCAAAAGGTCACAAGTTAAACATCAAACAAGATGATGTTAAAATAAATGGATGGGCTATTGAAAGTAGAGTGTATGCTGAAGATCCATACAAGAGTTTTGGATTGCCCAGTATAGGAAGACTACATAAATATATAGAACCAAATAAATTTGATGGTGTGAGGTGTGATAGCGGGATAGAGGAGGGAAGTGAAATTAGTATGTACTACGATCCAATGATTTGTAAATTAGTTTGCTATGGCAAAACCAGAGAGGAAGCCATTGATAGAAGTATTACAGCTTTAGATTCCTATGTAATTAGAGGTGTAACTCATAATATACCACTTCTTAGGGACATACTAACAGAAGAAAACTTCATCAAAGGAGATATCAGTACAAACTACCTACCAAAAATTTACCCAGACGGCTTCAAAGGTATACAACTAAACAAAAGCGATAAAAACAAACTATTTGCATTATCGTCAGCCCTATATGCTATCAACGAGTTGCGAAGCAGAAATTTCCTCAATGGACCCCAAATTAAAATCCACAAAGGAACGAAGGATAAGTGGAATCTAAATGTAATGGTAAATGAAGAAAATGTGGATGTGCAGGTTCATCAAACTAATGGTAAATTAAAGATAACGATTAAGGATGATGTCTATGAAATCAATAAAAAGGATCTAAACTTAGCTAGTAGTATTATCAGGACTGAAATTAATGGAGAGCCGGTTGTTATGCAACTTTTTTCCAAGAATGCAGCAGGGGAATTGCAAATAGTGTAAGTTATACAAATTTTATAAGTTTTTAGTTTTGCTATTAATGTTTTTACGTAATAAATTACGACAAAATTAAGAGCTTAAGAAACGTTTTACATTAAGCGTATGGTCAGCGCTGATCTCATGGTGCTTGATTATATGTACGTCCTGACGATCAGCACGCTGGTCATAGGCTCCATGTAAAACATTACCAACTCTGTCCCTGATTACCAATTAAGTAAATATCAATATTTTTTTGTGTAGTCAAAGTTGTATATCTTTATAATATTTAATTTAGTTGTTTATATTTATAAGAAACACTGTTTTTTACCCCATTCATTTTAATTTCAATTAATACAGTCATTGTGTTAAACGTTAGCAAACCAAAATATTTAATATTTTGTGTTTTTAAAAACGGGGAGGTAAATTTTTGTCTTCTAAAAACACTGAAATTGGTTTATAAGAAACGTAATATCTTATTTTCAAGTCTAAAAACCTGTTGTTTAGTTCCTTCTATGTTTAATTTTTTTGTTTCTATTTTAGATATAAAGGTACAAATTTCAAAGTAAAGATTTTGTCAAGAAAATCTTCAGAATTATTGCACCTAATGCCTGAGAAACCCAAACTAGATGTTTCTAAATTGGTAAAATCACCAATGCCTGGTTTAGTTAAAGGTGTGTCTTGTAATGTTGGTGATATGGTAGCTGAAGGACAAGAATTGTGTATAATAGGTAAGTAAAAATACACTATGAGACTCTAAAAGCCTCGCCAATTTATACGAATAATATAAACAATAGTATATTGTGCGACTAGTGGGAGAAAAAGGAGATTTCTTGAGAGTGGAGTTTATTTTGACCTATATATAGTCGCACACAATATTTTAATCAACTTCCGCGGGATATCGCAAGGAATTTGATTTGATTTGATATATCAACTGACATCTGACAACTGTCAAGCAGTTTTAACCTTACATTTTTTCAAATTTAACGTAAAACTAACCTTAGCCCGTTACGTTTGTGGGAAAGCACCTTCACCATGCATTTTTTTATTTCCTGCCTCGTGTTCTTCCTTTTTTGAAAGAGTATTTTACAATGTATCTAATGATTTTCCTTATTATACAGGATAAATCATTAAAATTTAAAAAAATCAGTATTGTATTTCTTGCACGAAAATAAGAAAAAACCTTAGTATTAAGTTAGTATCTCAATTTGAAGGGGCCGTGACAGCAAATTCAGCGGTGCCAGTGAATTTAAATAAAACGTTGTATTTTAATTAACAGATTAGGTATTACTTTATTACAAATTAAAGTATCATTAAAACTTAAAAACAATATAGAAAATAAATAGGTAACAATTTGAATTATTAATTTGTTGTTATAATGGCAAAACTGTCATATTTTTATGTTTTCTAAGTTGGCAGCACAAAATTTGAAATTATAATTTTAAAAAGTGCTAAAAAACAGTTTTTGATATTCCTATAAAAAATATACTGTAATAATAAATTTCTAAAAACTAATTTTTGAAAGAACACCACAAATTATAAATAATCTATTATAATTATAATTATACCCATAAACTATTTTAAAAATTCAATTGCAAACTCAAGAAACAAAGTAAAGATCATGTTAATATCTTAAAAATGTCCTATAAAAACAAATGTTACTTTAAAATTTATTTTCTTTGCTGTAAAAAATCTGAAATTATTTGTGAATGTGTCTGATGCCAAACAAAATCATATATTAAATTTTGAAGACATGGAGAAAGCGCTACATTTTTTCGTAATATTAATAAATTACCCTGCCTATTCAAGACAGTGTATTACCTAAACAAATTTTACTTTTGGTTTTAAAAAATATTCTATGAAATTTTAACTTTTAAACGCATTTAAGTAAAATTATTGTGCGATATGCAAATTCAATTTTCGGCACGATCGGCAAATCGACCTAATATTAAAATAAGTTTCTATGAATACATATATGTCCATACTTGCTTCGTTTTTAAGATGCTATGTATAAACTTTATAGGTACTATAAAGTTAATCGTATTTCCTAATAAAATATGTATATTAGGCATGTACCTACACCACTGACATTTAATATTTTAGTTGAAACTGTTATCTTTCAATTAACTACCAAAACCTACCTCTTGAATTTGTTGGCTACTCAAAATAGCCTTTTCGTTTAATTAGTTTAGCTTTATTAAATTACACAGGCCGACAAAATTAAAAATTCTGTTTGCCACAGGGTAACAAACAACTTTTAAATTACCCTAGAAAAGTAAATGTATTTCCTGAAGCAAAATGGCTGTTGATCAATGTTATTTATTTTATGTACTACCTACTATATTTACAAGCTGTGACTTTATGGCGTTTTAGTCACGGACTGAACTTAACAACAGTGGCTTTTAGCATTTTAGCCACGGGCTAAAGTTAGCTTTATTATAAATTTCGAAAAATTGAGGTTAAATTCGTCAAATATCAAATATTTATGAATTAAAATTGGCTTTATATTGTTATTTCTGTCAGTCGTAAAGTATAGTATGCAACTCGTTTTATAAACTTCTTCAGACACTCGCTCGCAAGCTTCGCCTAATAAAACTCGTAACTACTTTTAGTTTATAAAACTTGATAAATAATATACTATTAATTTGTATTTTTAAACCAAGATAAAATAGAAGCACTATTAGAAAACAAATTTTGTTGCATACAAATATTAAAAAAGAACGTGTTTACAGAAAGTTTTTAATTTATTTAGTATTTTTTGAAATTTTGTCTTAAACTGCACTCATTGACTATATACATACCTTTTAAGTAAAGTACCTTCTAAGTAAAGTATGTATAAAACTAGCATTTAGATGTCTTACACTTTTATGTTTTTATGAGATAAACTTTCTTATTAAAAATCTTTTTTAATCATTTTTGCAGAGGCTATGAAGATGCAAAACTCCATGGTGGCAGCTACAACTGGAAAAATAAAGACAATAAATATAAAAGCCGGAGATACTGTGGGAGAAGACGACGTTTTAGTTGAATTGGAATGAAAATTTTAATATATTTTTATATTTTTTATATTGTGCAATAAAATGTTTTAGTCCGTTTTATTGTTCTTTTTTACAATCCTTTAATAAGAGATACCTCGAGGCTTTAGAAATATTATACTTTTGAAGGAGAATAATTTATTTTATAACCCCTTTTGTAAAAATTAAATCATATTTAATTTTAAATTAATAAAATTATGATAAATGAGTAAATGTTATTATTTTATTATAAAACGTATACGATATTCTTATAGGTAGGTATTCTTAAATGTTTATTGATATTTTAATTAGGGAAAAACCTGTTTTTCCGTTTTTTGGAAAATATACTCATTTTAAAAAAAGTAGCAATCAATATCTTAACATTATTTTAATTTAAAAAAAATATACTAAAAAATTAAACAAAATTGAACTAGATTGATATAAGAAAATAAAAAAAGTAGGTATTCGTCCCAGATAGCACACAACATCTTGAAGATGTCTTTGCCTGAACCTCTGAAGATCTAAAAAAGACGTCTTAAAGACGTCTGTTGATAGACGTCTAAATGTTCTAAAGACATCTTATAAATGCCTGATACTGCTGGTTTTTTTTTTAATAAAATAGTGAATTTTGACAAGTCAAAATCGAAATTATATCCCATAATCAGTCACTTCATAGTAAGATATAATTAACTAAGTACTATCTTATTTTGGTGTAATAAAAACAACATTAATGTAAGATTTTAAGTTTTGACAACGATGATGGATTTTACGGTTAAAATTATTTTACCTAAAGTTTTAAATATGGTTTTTAATTCAGTTTTTTACATTAAAGAATCTGATTTTGACAAATGTGATTTTAAATCGTGTTTTTCGCATTTTAAATTGTGTTTTGATATTTAGCTCATAATTATTTAAACTTTGAAAAAAATATTCTATGTGAAAATCTCGCTAAATTTAATTAAATTTTCCAAAATGTTTAAATTTTAAAAATAGGTGATTTTTTAAGATTACCTTGTTTTCCATCCATTAACTAAATGGATTCGGCCATTCTGGATTGTTATTTTAATATAGGAATAGTAAGTCATGTAAATGTAGCCGTGCCGCGTACTGTTTGTGTTGCCGTTAATCCGGCATTAATCAAAATTTGGCGCTTGACGTGGTGCTGAAACGTTACGAGGGGGAGCGGTTTAAATATCCAGACTACTTAGCGCTGTCTGAAAATTGCCTGGAGCCGAACAATAGACGGAACTTCCACGCCAGTCAAATCTATTAGTGAACTTGAATTATTATGTTGAATTAAGAATAATGAAATAGAACCATAATAATGCAGTCAACGCTCCTTTGCTTTCTCTCTCTTCTCTCGTTATTTTGTAAATTGCAGGAATATTTTTGTCTAATGTTTATCTTACACTTAATATTTTCCTATCAAGGACACTAATTGTCTTTTGCTAAATGTATTTTAAAAGCGAAAACAAAGCAAGTTGTAGGAGAACGATTTTTGGTCATGAATGCTCAACAGATCATCATTATTGATATTAAAAACACATTTTAGAATGTCCAAATCAGGTTCTGACATATTTTAATAAACTAAGACTTATTTAGGGAAAACAAAGCATTGTTGCCAAAAACAAATTTTTAACGTTAATAAATATTTGGGCGGGGCTCCATCAAACTGGGCATAAGGCATTTTTATACCTATTTAGGATGTCTGACCAAGTTGACATTTTTTGACGGACGTCATCTTTATTTTTTACATTTGTCATATTTCTAAATAAATCATTATAATTAATAATTCGTCACGTGATCGGCCTTGACCATAGATGACCGAAGTTGGTTCTTTGCGCAGATTACGTCACTGTACTCTAGCGTAATATTATTACGCCGCGAGTCGCGTAATCAGGGCCGGATTTAATCATGGGCACTTTGGGCAACTGCCCAGGGCGGCAAATTTTTGGGGCGGCAAATTTTGGTGGAAAGATTCATATTTTCCGAAACATTAAAATTTGGTTACGAAGATATCATTATAGTCTGAGATTATTAGCGAAAGCTAAAACAATCACCTATTTGTTAAATCCCAACTCCTCATATAACTAAATGTATGATTTTACAGGGCGATTTTTCTAGAAAAAAATTCATCAACTTAACTCAGTTTATCTCACACTATACATTGCGCAGTGGAAATTTGAATTTTGGCTCCGCCCGACGCGGCGCCTCCCCCGTGGCTGCCATATTGTGTCGTACTTATAATAATTTTATCTAGTGTAGTGCTGCCAAATATTACATTACCGTGTATGTACTATGTGGTACTATGTAAACAGAACAGTCTGGAACAGTCTTTTTCTACTCCTATTACGGAATATAATACAATGTAATTATATAATACCACTTTTTAATGTGGAATTGCATATATTCCTTAAACTCTTACATAATTTATAAATATTCTATCATCGGATGGCGGAATATGGTCTAAAATATCATTTTTCAACGTTGTTCAATCATTGTACAACTTCTTTACTACGTCAACACATCGGTGGGAAATTTTGAGGTCCACTGAGAAAACCAAATTAATAACATTAGCATCTTTGTCCACTACTAGGTGGTCTGCTCGTGATGACGCTGTCCAGGTTTTGAATCAATATTTCCAAGATATAATCGAGATTACTGTATTACTGTATGGTTAGTTTCCAACAATCATATTTGTATAAGATATTGTGTAAAAAATAAAAACATTGATGTAAACTGATCTTAAATTCGTTGTCTGATTTTTTTTCGACGAATTCGTAGCTTTGATAAAATGGGCGGCAAGATCATGACTGCCCAGGGGCGGCAAGAATGGTAAATCCGGCCCTGCGCGTAATTGTTTTACATCTCGCGTAATATACCCAAAGATAATATTATATTATATTATTTTTGTATGTACCTACTATACCGAGGGGTAAACCACTGATTTTTTAAAATTAAAAATCGCTTACGAATTAACGGTTAAAGCTTAATTTTCATGTATCCGTTTGTCCGTTAGTGCGTTCATCCGGGAGCGCTCTTATTGGTCCAATTGCAATTGGAAAATTATGACATTTTATCGGTCCGTCAAGTTTCAACTTCGTACGTCTGACAGAGAAAGGTTAAATAATTTTAACTTATCCGTCACTAGACATCTGTTGTTGACTTTATTTTAAGATAATTTATTTTCAAATCTTTTTATATTTTTCGTAGAACGGAAATATTACCACAGCATAAACACATGTGTTTATGCTGTGATATTACGTTCGTTATGTGAATAATGTTCTACGGTTATGTGTTTATTTAAGAATAACGGAAAAAAAGAAAAGACAAACAAAAAAATTCAAACTAGAACTAAAAGGACCTGTTTTTTTAAACTAAACATTTTAATGTACATTAAGGTAGTATATTCTTTTTGAATGGTATATGTATTTACCTACCTTTAAATTTATTAGACAGCTAACTGTTAAAGTTACAATGATTTATTATCTATGGTTACAATTGTTGACATAATTGTAACGAAGACAATTAAGCATTAGGTAAATTTGGTAAAGTGAATATACTGACACTTAATTTCTATTTGTCGTCAAATCAATCCGTTAAAGCACTGATTAACACCTTCAGACCTGGCGTACATTCACATGTACTATGCTCCACACTTCAAAGTCCCACCACGTGACCATGTACGGAACGCAGTCTTTTGATATATTGTCATTTAAGGCTTTTCAGGTTATGTATCTGTCAAAGTATAGTCAATGCAAGAAATAATATTTATACTGTTACCATTTATGTTTAAGCGTTAAAAGTTTATAAATCTTTATAGTATCACAGTAACAATGGTTGGTTTAAGAGTTAAGGAGTATAAATACTGCATTTAATGAAATTCTAAAGTGTATAGTGCCAAATAAGTAAATTTTTTGTGCATTTGGTTTACATATATCTGGTTTTATCCATTAAATAGTTTTAACTAAACGGCATTTATTAAAACAATTTAGCTTGTCTATTATGGAATAAGAATATCTGTATCAAAGGTAGGTTAATATATTATAACAAAAAATATCATCTAATTTTGAAATTTTAAGGTTAGAAAAATCTATTTTGATCAAAATAAATAAGTATTTTGGATTATTTGGAAGAGTGTGTTAATATGGTCATATAAATATAGATATACTAAATAATTGTTGAATATGGTTCAAATTAAATTAAAGCTTTTATACTCCTAACAACAAAACTTGTGCATACCTCTCGGGATCCCTACTTTAAGTTAGATTATAAGGAAACAAACAATTTTTAGAGATACATGCAATGTAAAAATATTTAATACTCCCATAACATGTGATTTTTGAAATTTTTAAAAGTTATAATGATTTTTCGATGAAGATAAAATTCAGTTGAAGCTTTATACGTAATTGTATTGACAAAACTTTATGTAGGTATACTTTAAGCTGGATAAGAAAGACTACTACAAGTAAAAAATTAGATAGAGTATACTGTGGTTTTATTTAAATTTTAGAATTTATAAGGTTATTTATACCTAATGATTGTTCGATGTAGATAAAATTTTGTCGAAGCTTTTATAGGTAGGTACTTGTATTGACACTACACTGAAAAAAAGAAACCTTTGCCCCAAGGAAATCTGCCATTCACTCAAAGGAATGGGGACTTTGGATAGGTCCAAATGAATGAAGGGTTTAAAGCAAATACGTCATTTCTTTGAGATCATTTCATGATTTGTCTTTGTTGCAAAGAAACATGAATTTAGAAGAAGATCTTCGTTATAGGTCCTTAAATGCCGTGCTTTTATTAATAACCCGGTACTGATTTGGATCAAAGGCTTAAGTAAATTGAAATAAAGAAAAGCGGGCTTACTACAAAATCTTAGGTTCTTGTTCTTAAAGAATTAGGAATTTGTAGCAAAAGTCGGATGTCTGGATTTAAATCTATTGGCATTTAAGTTAAGTAATTTAATTTTTTGTAACAAAATCCAAGTTTTTATTTCAAATCCATAAGCGTTTGATTAAAAAACTATTGTTATTTGTATCAAAACTCGGATTTCTTGCTCTTAATCTATGGGCATTTGAA